ATGTCTATTTATTTAGTAAATGTGTTTTAATGAAAATAAATTTTAATTACAACATACATCATATACAGTATTTTAAGTGAATTACACTTTTATTTGTTCACAAGTATATAATACTACTGCAAGTGTAATACAGTTGTACTAAAAAAATAAAATAAACTTATTTTTACTATTCATAAAAATATATATGATTTTTATTTTGTTTAAATTAACGCGTTGAGTTTTGGTTTTAATTAATACTTGTTATAAATGGCTAATAAGGAGACACCAAAACAATGTCTCATTTGCGGTGATAAAGCCTATGGTAAGTACAATAGATTAACCATGTTAATTTAGCATTTAATTTAATTTTTATATTAATATGTATAATGTTATTAATATTAAATGTGTGCTCATGTTATATTAATACAACTATAATTAAATTCAATGTCTATTTATAAATAATGTAATTTTAATATTTTAAATTAAATATAACATAAAGTTTTCAAACAATTTATTTTTGCAATGATTTAGTATTCAATTTCGGTGTCATATCGTGTCAGTCGTGTAAAGCGTTTTTTCGTAGGAATGCCCTCAAAAACAAGGTATTAATTAATTAAATAAATTTCTACCCTGATTACTGATCAATGTAAATTATTTGCAAACAAGGGGTTCGAGTGTGCCTTTGATAGCAACTGTCAGGTCGATGTCATTACCCGAAAGTTTTGCCAAAAGTGTCGGTTAGACAAGTGCTTCCGACTCGGCATGAAAAAAGTCAGTCAATCATAGATTTAATTCATTTAAGACTCATTTATACTGATCACACGCTTGTCTGCCTACCTGTCCATCGACGTAGGAGTGGATCCTAAACGAGGATGAGTTGAAAACAATGCGCACAAAGATTATGGAGAATAAGGTTAAGCGCCGGAACCGCGAGCTCTATAAGCGGCAAATGGTTTCAAAAACGGCCGACGACTTGACCGCCGAAACCCCGATTCCGGACACAAAATACGGATTAGTCGGCGATTCCTCATCGAGTAATTCTTCGGATTCTGGTAAAGGGAACAGCGATTCATCCGATTCTGACACCAAAAACGACACACAAATCATACATTTAAATGGTATGAAGGTCTCCAAGTTTAACACCGACATCATCGACATCTACAACAACTATCACCGCGAAAAAGGTGCGGAATTCCTATCATCAGTGGTCGCCATCTCACAACATGTCACCGATTATAACAAGAGTTTCAACACATATGAATGCGACAAATTGATCGAGCTGTTTAGCGCCATTAACTTCATCCGGGAGCCCACACTGCCTCTTGAACCCGTGGTGACCGATATGATGAACTTTAAAATGGCCATGGTGTTCAAGTTGGATAAGGAGATTAGAAATTTTATTACAGTCGCCCAGAATGTGGCCGAATTTGATAGCCTGTGCGAGAATGATAGGATAGCCCTGGTCAAGTATGGGTCCGTCGAGATCATTGGCATGCGAATGATCCAGTTTTATAACGTGGCCGCACAGTCGTGGACTATATTCATGGTAAGTTTAATACATTAGTCATAATGTCATTTATAAATAGAGTTTGCTATTTTTGAAAGTAGCTAAGAATTGATTGTCTAATATATTGTATTATTTATATACAATCATTATTCTGGTAAGATTTATAGACTACTCATAGAATATAAATATGGATAAAAATAGTATAAATTATATTATATTATACATAAATTTATATCAGAAAAAATAAATTATATAAATTATATTTAAAATATTATCAGCATCAGTTTTGAAGTTTTAATTCATTTAATCTCAATTTTGTTATAATTTACCGAAAGTACTCGAATTTTAAGATCTCATAAATATCTTTAAATCATCACTAAGTCTAGAGTTATTTCATATTATATTTAATTATCAGCATCTAGTTAAATATTTAAATATACGCATATATAACATAAATAGTTGAAAGATTAGTTGAAGTTAACATTTTAATGTTCAAATAATTTAGCTTTATGATTTTAATTAAATAAATAAAATTAAAATTAAATATATTATATGTATGCACTATATTTTAAATTTTATATGTTTTCAATATTTATATATTTCATAAATTATATGAAATTTTTATAATTTATATAATTTATTTGGATATAATATAAATTATTATAATTTAACAACCCTAAATATAAATAAGTTAGTTGTTAATTATTATAAAATTTAATGAACTGTATACAATTATTATGACATGTATTAACTAAATTATTTATGGCAGATGGAGCAGCATATAAAAAATTATAGACTAATTATAAAAATATTTTAGATCTAATTATGCAATTAAGAGAGAAATACATTCATCTGTAAATTAATCAAGTTAATTTATGAAATTGAAAAATTCTGTAGTCATGTAAACAAATTAATTTATTAATTTATTAATAATTTACTAATTTGTTTATAATTGTTAATAAATTTAATAATTAATTAATTAATTAATTATGTTTTCCATGCCATAGGACAAGAATAATTGGATAGTCTCTCGACTCGATATGTTAAGGAGTGAACCCATGAAAGCTATATTCAGGAATAGTTTCGGTAAAATAGGCAGTGAATGGGATTCCGATCCTATTATACTTGATTTGGTAAATATTTTTTGAAAATAAATTCATAAATAAATATATATTATATCAACAACATATCAAAATCATAAATAATACTTTTAAATCCGTATTTCTAGTTAACAATTATCCTGCTCTTCGACCCCAACCGTCCAAACCTATTACATCGGGAAGTGATTAAGTGAGTGAAACCGACTGTCCCTTAAGCTTTGTTAATCCAATTATTTGTGTTAATCCGCGTATTAATCCAATTATTGTCTGAACCTATAGGTTGCAGCAAAATATTTACATGCATTTACTGCAACGCTATTTATTACTAAAATACCGATCGGAATATAAGTCGAAAACGAAATTTTTGAATCTTATGAACGCATTGACGGACATTAATATTATGGGCGAAATATTTATGAGGAAATGCTACCGAACCAAACCCGAGCTGTTGGGGCCGCTACTCAAAGAGATATTTGATATCCAGGACATCCAGTGTTGAAAATAATTTCCTTTTAATATAATTTGCTAATAAATCATAATTCATATATTAATAAGACATTATATTTTAATTATACTCATCAATGATAGAGAGAGAGAGAGAGAGAGAGAGAGAGAGAGAGAGTGATAGAGAGAGTGATAGAGAGAGAGAGAGAGAGATGCTCTTATACGAAAGGTTAGCAAAGGTTATCATCAAATCATTATTGCTAGATAAATTAATAATGTATACTTTCATTTCGCTTGAACAACATGTGCTAAATATATTTAAGACCATATTATCATTTACGCGTGGATAACCTTTCAAACTATTAAAAATTGTTTCTAATAATCAGCTTGACTAAAAATAACAAAATCTGTACTGTAACATCCTTGATTATATTTTTAAAATGAAAATTGTATAAACCTTTATTTAATAAATTATAACTTCAAAGGAAATGCATGTAAGCATAGGATATAAACCATGATTTCAATATTTTTATCCCCATTATATGAAATGGCATTAAAAAATCAATAAAAGTTTTAATATTCTATTCTAATGTCTATTAATAATAATCTATAATTTAATGAAATATAAATTCTTAGTTTTGTGTGTATTTAATGGTTACTAATGAGTACTTTATTCACGATAACGTTTTTATTAAATTTAATAAGGAAATCGCAAACTAAAAGAGTATTATTTTATATGTTATATAATCAATTATCAATTAATTGCACTAATAATAGACGATAATGTTAGAAATGTACTGTATCCATTGCAATTTGAAAACCTTTTTAACTCTAATAATCACACACTTGTTAAATGAGCGCAAAAATAAGGTGTTTAATTTAGCTAGCATTGTTTTAATGAATAGCATTTACTAAATTATAATTATCCCAAAAAATAATAGCTAATAATTATTTAAAAAACACAAACAATTGTATTAATTTTTATTGTATTTTTTGCGAAATTTGTCTCAAACATATAATTATTACAGTGACATTATCAGCCAGATAAGTGTAGTGAAATAAGTGATAGATAGCATGCAGTACTACAGTAAAGCGATTGGTGTTAGAAGTTGTTGTTTAAAGCATTAATAATAATAGACAGTAGAAAAGTACACAGAATCTATTCAAACAGGTTTCCATCTACCAGTCCCCTCAACCATAGCATCCACAATCTCGATGTATGCATTTTACAGTATATCTGAAAAATTGTACGCAAACTCTAACTAAGAATTCATTTCAACATTTTTAGACACATACAAGTGGTCGTCAATACACTACTACAGTATAAATACACTGTTTTGTGCTGGCTAATAGTTAATAGTGAGTGTGATTTTTTGTATTAAAAAACAAAAATTAACATTATTTGTGCTGGTATTTGTGCGTGAACGTGTGTGTGTGAAGTTAATTATACACCGTATAATTGGTGTACATAACTAGAAATATTTTTATTTTTGTGTTGTGTACACTTGCATCATAAATATTCATACATTTATGAAGTGTATGAATACAGTGTATTACATAGGAATCAGCTACCAAAGCAAACACACATACAATGGATTTCTATGAGATGTTTTCATACCTGCGTTCAATGATTTGAGTGACAAATCGCTTATACATTACTTTGAATAGTATTGTATATATAGAGATCACTGAAT